AGAGTGTCAGTGTCAGTTATGGCATAAGAATCTGTGACTGAAAAGTGTGCCAGGTCTGATTGGTCCCTGTCACATGGACGGAGTATTAATGTGATACAAATGAATATATGTGCTCAAAGTACCTATCATTGTTTCCATGACTTTAATTATGGAAATGTCCAGAAACATGAACAGGGATGTGGGCTTTGCCTGTCAGTTTTGTGAAAGCATTTTAGGGTTTTTTTTTCTGTTCAAGTAGCCTTGTCTCTTTAAGCAGTCAGGTGAATATTAGAGATGAAAACCTGCTAGAATCTTATATTTATGTGTGCACTCTCTGCTTATGTGTTCATATGGTATATTAGTGTAGTGTTATGTCATGTACAGCTTTTTAACAGAAATGGGTATTGGCATAATAGCACAGGAATTATCACTAATGAAGGAGCTTACATGTCCAGATGAGGTCTAGAGTGAGTGTGTTTCCCAAACCAGGGCATGCTATGTAGTTCTTGAGGCTAGATGTTAAAATGCAGAAGAAGTTATTTCTTGAGATAGTGTTTGAAACATTTGTGTCTTGTCTAGTGCATCCCTGAAATAGCTTTGTAACAAATTCAGTAGTTGTTTTCAGAAGGCAAATTATTGTTTTCAGGACCAAGCAGAACCTTGTGCAAGCTTGTATTTAAATAATAAGAAAGGTTGGAGGTAGAAACATCAGTTGGCTGATAGATGGTATGTTTTCATTTTGGGGTTTTATGCTGTCAGTTGGTTTTGAACATACCTAAGCTCTATAGTTCAAAATCCTTACTATACTGCTTCTGAAATTATAGAGAATAAACACATTCTAGTTGCTAACCCTTTATGCACATTAGTGTTTCCAGTTGAACTCAGAATTCTGTTTTTCTTTCTCTTAGTCTTTGCATCATCAGTGAATTGTGTTATGGAGAAAACCTGCAACTTAAATATTTTCCAACTGCTTTTTTTTCAGCGCAGACTTTTCTTTATAAGGAAAGACTCTTTCTTTATTATATTAACCATATAATAAAAAATTCATTTGTCTTGGTTAATTTAAGGTAGGAGCTACTGTCTGAACATGTAAGTGTGCAGGATAGGGTCTCAGTGAAAGACACTTCCCTCATGCCAGAGTCTCAGTAAAAGATACTTAAGATACACTTTTGATAACTCTGTCCCAAAGCTGTTGATATAAAGAAAATGGTTTCTTATTTTCAGAATTCTGTGGTGGTGTCTTTTCTTGAAAATGTTGAAATGGTATATTTGAAGCATTTCTCTTGGGCTTTCCATCTTTCCTCATGTGTTTTAATATCTCACGCTTGTCCTGGCATACTAAGAATATAAAAATCATTTTGAAAGAGTAAATCTTTCTGGTTTATTCCCCTAAAGTATTGGTGAGTTTTGTTTCTTTACACTGTAATTTAAAATAGTAGGTTATGATTACATGTTACAACTGGTAACTTGTAATGAAAGCCTTAATAATTTCTCATAACCTTATACTAGAATACTGTGCTCCATGCATTTAAAGGTAAAATCTAATCAACTGTTTTGGAAACTAGATTGTTGACTTACAGTGATTATGAGTGTGCAGTGTTTGAACAGCATTTCAGACAGAAGAGACTGTCACAGTCCATAGTGGATAATGAAATGACACATACACCACTATTTAGTGCAGGAAGCCTCATGTCTAGAAGACCACACTGTGTTGATACTGTATTTTATCCAGGTATGCCAGAACGATGCTGCTCATTTTCTTTATGTTCCACTTTGACATATGCTCTAAGAGAATAGAAGGTGAGGTGTTGAAAAACAACTTGAATCCTGAAGTTACTTTGGTATATCATCTGGTTCGAGCTAGGCAGAAATAAAAACTATTTAAAATCTGTTCCCCTGTAAATGTTTTAGGAATGTAAGCGGCTTGCTTTATGGCATCACATCAGAACCATTATCCTTTCCCCATTTTTTACATCTAACTCAATTCTAAATGACTCCTTTAAGAAAAAAAAACTCCAACCCAACTAAACAAAACACACAGCCCCTTGCCCCTTATGCTGGTTTTATTTCTTGTTATAAATAAAGATATTGTATCCTTAGAAAGGTGTGATAACTCCCACTTAGATCATAATGTGCTAAAGTGCAGTGCATGTTTTCTGTGATCAACAACAGTGAGAAAGAAAATGGCTATAAAAAGGAAAATTTGAAGTTTATAATTGGAATGTGCACTCTTTTTTGAAATGGCTAAGGTTTTGAGTTCTTATGCCAATAAGTTCATATACTGCTTTCTGAGCATTTTGTCTCTGCCCTCATTTATTGAATTAATTCTTTAATTAGTGTCCTTTGGGATGTCTTCCAGTTGTGGAACTTGTACTAAGATTTCCTTTTACAGAACTTGTGACTTAATATTAGCTGTTTCTGAAGCAAGACACTAACCTCTGTGTGCCTTTTGCAAGTTAATGTTGACAGGCTCATAGGAAATGCAGCTGACGTTAGGAAGCTTGGGTGGGGACTACAAGGAGCTGGCAAGTACTCCAGGGTTCAGTGCCAGACATGCTGACACAACAGTACTTCACTTGTAAAAGTTTTCTTTAGGCTGCTAATTCTGTCTTCAGAGTAACTGGAACCAAAGCAGTGTCTCTGATGCCAAGTTAAAATAGCTAAAGTAACACTTTATAGGAAATTGAGAATGCTTTCCACGTCTTAGATCTTCGGAAATATTAGTAAAAAGAGCAAGCTTCTCTCTTAATGAAAGGGCGAGTTATGAACAGTGTGAGTATAATGAATGCATGCAAAACAAGTCCATCTAGCTAGAGTGAGTGTTAGAAACAACTCCAAGAGGGAAAAGCTAGCATTGTGAAGTCTCTGTAAATACTGTGCTCTGAGGGATTTATATCACAGTTTCAATTTATTTGATTTACTAGTTCATAGTCATATTTCATAAGGCACCCTTTAATAGCTTCCTTTAGATTTCAAAGTAAAATTGTTTTCTTCAAATGTATCTAGACGTTGAGAAATGCTGTGTGATCACTTCTACAGCAGTTTGACCATATCACCTTAAGTATAATGTGTTTTGTCTTGAGCTTACAGTATTTCTGGTCCATATTAGAACCTAAGAAATAGTAAGGCAAAGCTTTGAAGGGACATAAAAGTGGAACACAGCTTAGGTTTGCTTTGCAGAAGTTCAGGCAGAGTATGAGTTGCTGCTACCATGCTGTCTCCAGTTTTGTATGTGGGAGGACTTCATGATGCCTCAAGAAGCATCATGGAGAGGAATCTTGCTGGGGAGGGCATGCCTGGCTTACAGACTCTAAAAACTGCTGCAGTCTTGGTGGAAGGATGCAGCAGTATTACATAAGCATATTGGTTTTGTTTTAATTTCATCGTGACCCTTAGATTTTAGGAAGTGCTTCCTTTCATTTCTTAGAATGCAGGACTCAAAGCAAGTGGAGGAAGAAAGGAGATTCAGATGATGAATTTAATCTGTTCAGTGTTTTTGCAGTGCAGTGTGCCATGGCATTAAAGTTAGCTTTAATGTTATTGCTTCTTTTAAGGTAGGCACATGCATTCTGCTCTCCTACCAAAGTAGAAGTTCAGGTAGCAGACTGAAGCAGCTTTGCCTACAGCAACTGGATGGCAGTGTCTTGCATCCATGGGAGACATTGGCTCCTGCTGACCTCAGAATTACAGATCACCTCTGAAGTCTCCTCTGACCTATTTTATCAAGTTAAAATTAAATAAAAGCAATATATAGTAATAAGAAAAGACTGTTTTTAAATCTTGGAGGGGTTTTTTGCATGACAACTGTCATATATAAAAAACTGGATTGAGAAGTTTTTTTCTCTGAGATCACCTTAGTCATTTTTCTTAACATCCTTTATGAGTTTGACTGTGCAATGTTGGACACTGATGTCTTTCAGACCAAGATGTGTCTTTTCCTGAAGAGAAGCACTTAGTTAATTTTTGCGTCTACAAAATGTAAACTGGTGATTTCTGAAAGCTATGCAGCAAGTAACTATGTAGCCTATGACTTGCCTAAATCTAGCTGTTCAACTCACCATTGATTTTTTGTGAAGCTCTTGCTGGGCATCTGTTCTCATGTGTTTCTGGACATTCTGTGGCACATCTCTGAAATTTAGCCTCTGTACTGCCTGATTCCTTTCAAATTATTACCTAGATTTTTGTCCCTGCAAGTATGTGAATTTTCTTCCTGAGCTGGATCCTGTCTTTGCCAGTATGAGTGTACCTAGAAAGGCATGTGTGTCTTAGCTCAATAAAAGAGGCTGGAGGATATGTTTGGAAAAGAAATTTTAAAAAAGTTTATTTTTCACTGAGATAATACAGATAAACTTTGGAGAACATTGTCTTTATCTTGGTCACAAATTTGTTGAATGAAGGAGGATCTTGAGAGATGCTGTGGTGACTCTTCCAGAGAGAAGTTCCTTTGTTGAATAAAAATTGTGCAGTATCACTGAAGTGATCTGGTCAGTGTTCAAGATTTGAACTGTCTCAGGGGATGGATTGCTGACATTCTCTATGGCCTGTTTAGGCATTTCTGTTTACAGATCTGTAGTGATCTGTTTGCAGTGCAGTGAGGCTGCACTTCCTGTGGTTGAATGGTGTTGCTTAACTGTGGTCAACTGAATTCCTTGGAACAGGAGTTGAATTTTTCTAATGCAATGTCAATAGATTTTGCCAACAATAGCTGGCAATGAAGGCACATGCAAGGCTAGCATGAATTTCTGATGGTATATTACGTATTGTGAACTTTGTTCTTAATCATTTTCTGCATCATCTGACAAAAGTGAGCTGCAAAAATGGCTTTGCAATTATCTATCACAACTTCCATACTAAGTCTTTACTAGTAAGCAGGAGTTTTTATGTTTTTTATGGAGTTTATGGATGGACATTTGCTTTGATTCATGAACAGTTTCAGAAACATGGTAGCTGACACCATTTTTCTTAGACAGTGACAAGAAAGTTTGAGTATCAAAACTTTTTTTCTTGTTTTTTTTTTCCAGATGGAGCAATTGTCAGATGAAGAGCTTGACCATGGTGCAGAAGAAGATAGTGATAAGGAAGATCAGGATCTCGACAAGATGTTTGGGGCCTGGCTGGGTGAGCTGGACAAACTCACACAGGTGAGGGAGGCTTCAATCATCTCACAGAATGATTTTTTGTTGTTACTACATTTCTTTTCAGTTGAATACCAACTGCTTGACTCTGCCACTTGCAGCAAGTCAGACAGTAGCCTGTGACCAGTTCAGTAATATTTAAAGGTTTATAAATTGGCTTTCTCTGTGAATATCTGGTGTCTTAACATTTATTCTGCTTAAGTTATTCTATATGATGCAAGTTAAATGAAAAAAAATTACCATGCTTCTCATAATTATTTAGAATTAAGCTTTTGGTGCTGTTGTAGTTTTTAGCAGTTCTCCAAACTGCTGGGTTAGCAGTTATGGAGAATGTGCTCAGATAATGGTGAGGGCGTATCACATGTGTGTCCAGTGATCTGCAATAACTTGAATAAAGCCAGCAAAGCATGGTTGGGGTGCTTTTAACCAGAATATATTTGCTTCACAGGAGATATTTTGTAGTAGTCTGTGGATTCAGTCTGAAGGAATGGGGCCTAACTTGCCTCTTGTGTCTCCAGTTTCCTTGATGGTCTCTAGGGTTATAGATTTTTAATTTTTTTTAATTTTTTTTTTTTGTTCAGGCCAAGCTGAGGAGAGAAGGGAGCTCAGGAAGAATAAACATTAGGGAAAAAGTAGCGCATTTATTCTTTTTAACAAAGGCTTGAGTAAAGATGTAGAAAATGAACATAAAAAGTTTAGGTGAGAAACTTTTTTCTGTTGAAGCATATCTTCAGGAACTTTTTATCAGTACAAGCCTTGCCTAATTTCAGATGTTCTGCAGGCCTGTTGAGTTTCAGTGACAGCAAGAGCTGGATTCGCTATGTAACACATTCCAGTCCAGGGCCAGCAGCTCCTGACCCTGTACTTCTTGGCTCAGCAGCTGGATCACAGTGCCCTACTGCTTGCTACTTACAAAATCCTGGTATTTATTACAGTACTATACCCATATTAGCCATCATAACATAACAACTCAGTGTATTGGTTAGAAAGAGTTTCTTTTTTTAACCTATGCTAGTTTTCCTGAAAAAAATGTGCCCTACATAAACTGGTTAGGGTTGGTTTTCATAACTTCATGTTATTCACAGGAAAGACTACTGAAAAAAATTCTGAATTTAGTGAATTTAAATCCCTGTTAATGAAATACGATTGTTCATTGAATGTTTTTAAGCACTTATGCCATGGTTATGCTCATGAGCTAATGATGGATATTTTAGACAGTATTTCAGACTCTTATCCCAGTTTGAATGTTATGCAGTTTCATGCAGAGGGGTAGTTTACAGCTAAGTCAGCTGTCTGTTTTAAAATGAGCTAGTGTCTAACACCATTCAAAAAAGCATTTGGAAAATGCTTCTATCCTTTTGATTCTGAAAAAAAGCAGAATGTGTTTAACAAGTTTTTTTTACTGCATATCTGAAGTTAAATCTCTGTAATATGATGATGTTTGTTTTCAGTCTAAAGCCTGAAAAACAGGGGTGCTTTTATATATACCAGAACTTCTGAAAATTTTCTCTTAGAGAAAATAAATTCTCATTCATCTTAAGGAACTGGACAAGCAAATCTTTGTCAAATTATATTTGCCCTTTTTTTGATCTTTTTCAGAGTTTGGATGCAGACAAGCCTGTGGCACCAGTGAAGAGGTCACCGCTCCGCCAGGAGACCAATCTTGCCAACTTTTCCTATCGCTTCTCCATGTACAATTTGAATGGTTTGTTGAATTATTTACCGCATATAGTTTAAAAAAATACTACTTTAAGAAAAAAGCTATTCCAACTATAAATTAAAATATTGTAAAATATAAGAACATTTAAATACACTTATAGCTGAGGTGAGAACATGTTTGCTGAAGGCATTGCTTTTTGGTGTCCTTTTTTTCCAAGTATTTGAGTCTCCTAAAGCATTATCTTTTACAACACTTAGTATTTGAGAACTTTAGCATAGTACTTGTATAAAAAACTTGTTCGGGGATCTGATCTCATGAAAGAATGACTTAATGTGTATCTGTTAACCAGGAAGAAAGAGCATCTTGCTTTACGGAACAGAATGCAGGAATATAGCTACAGAATGCTTTCAGGATAAACAGAAGGAAACCTTGATTTAAAGGTTTGAGTATGTATGTAGTATTTTTGGTTTGATTTTGTTTTTTTAAAGCTGTTGCAATACTTTAGCAAAAAATGCTTAGCAAAACATCTACAGTTTTTCGAAAAGTGAGGCATGATATTACACAAGTGCATTTTTACATTCCATTCACAGGAAAGCAGTTTAAACTTTTCAGATGTAATCTGAACATTCATAGACTTCTTTTGCTGACAAATGAGCTTAACCTAAATAGTATGAAAGTTGCAGTGGTCAAGGGTAGTGCAAATGAATTTTGTTTCAGCAGTGCCCAGATATTTTGCACTACAGATGGGAAAAGAAAATGCTGCTTCCTTTGCTCTCTTAGCTATTAGATTTGATAACACAAAGTGAGACATTGCAAATGAAATAACTCTGCACATACTGACTACCCTTGTTTGTTGCAGAAGCCCTGAATCAGGGGGAGACTGTGGATCTGGATGCCCTCATGGCTGATCTCTGTTCCATAGAGCAGGAGCTCAGCAGCATTGGCTCTCATTCAGCAAACAATGCTGCAGTGAAACGCCTTGCCACGGAGCCCAAAACTCAGAAACCACCTGCTAGTCGACCTTCCACTAAGCACAGCAGCGTGAAAGGGTTGTCCTCTGCTAAGGTGACTAAACCATCACATGCCAACGTGTCTCTGGATGACATCACTGCACAGTTAGAGAAGGCCTCTTTGAGCATGGACGAAGCAGCCCAGCAGTCCGTTGCAGAAGACACCAAGCCAGTGGTGACTGCCCAGCACAGGAGGACAGCATCTGCTGGCACAGTGAGTGATGCTGAGGTGCGCTCCATCAGTAACTCCTCCCGTTCCAGCGTGACCTCAGCAGCTTCCAGCATGGACTCCCTGGATATCGATAAGGTGACAAGACCTCAGGAGCTGGACTTGACATCACAAGGGCAACCAATCACCGAGGTAGGATGGCACTAATTCAACATTTTTGTTTGGTTTGGGTCTTTCTCTTCAAACTTACACTTCATTCCCCATGCTGACACTCATAGCTAAACATTTGCAGTGCAGTGGGGTTGGTTGAACTGCCCATGTTGTAGTTAATTCTTTCTCTGGTTTTGGTTCTGTCTGCAAGGAAACTTCTTATAAAGAATGCGTCTAGGTTTTGGGATTTTTAGGAGCTTTCCCCATCTCTTCCTCCTCTCAAGCCAATCATACATTTTAATGTTTTTGTAGTTAATATTTTTATTCCAAGTAAATATCACATATTGCCTTTAATTTAAATCTGAGGAGTGCACAGCTGTGGAAAAAAGAAAGCACAATTGACAAAATTCTATTCTTCTTACAGTACAGTTAATACCTGAAACACATGGAGCAATCTACAGGTGTCTATCTGGCGCTATACTGTACCAGTAATTTGCTGTTTAATACTCTTGTTTAATGTATGACAGGAGGAGCTCTTTGAAGCAATACACAATGCAGGAAATAACTGGGTTGCTATACAGCATTAGCAGATATTAATTTGGGATTTTGATGCTTTGATATTGATTAATTAGAGAGGAAACTTCAGTAAGAACAGCCAGTTCGGTGAACATTGCAAGTGCTGGTGACTTGAAAATGTGGAAAATGTTCCAGTCAGTTTTGAGAACTTAAACTTCGAAGTTCTCTCGTAGAAATACTCTCTGAAACAGAAATTTGACCTGTTAAGATGTCAGTTGTACTAATATGCATGTTCTCTTTCATGAGAGAAAACTGGAACAAACTGAGTTTATTCTAATCAATAATTAAAACTAATCTGAATGGGCTGTACTGAAAGCATGGTTCTACACATCTGCAACAGAAGTTCATCTGATGTAAAGTAAACGATGCAGGCTTGTCAGTCTTATGATCAACTCATTGAGGTCACACTTTGATTTAAATCTTCATTTTAAATAGTGAGGAATTAATGACAGTTTAAGTCAACTTTCTTTTCATGTAAAAAGTTAGCATTCAGTATGCTTTTATTGGAGATTTCCTACTGAGTGAAGAAAAACAGATAGAAATATGCCCTTTGCTCTTTGGAAAGTTAAAGTGCAAACCTTTGCATTATTGCTGTTGGCCTGAGTGTTCAATTCCAGCCTATGACAGTCATTGATTATATTGTTGTTTGTTTGAGAATCATTTTCTTTTTATGGCATGATAAGGCTTATATTTGAGTTGTTGGTTTTGGGTGGAGGTTTTTTTGTTTTTTTGGTTTTTTTTTTTTTGTTTGTTTGTTTGTTTGTTTGTTTGTTTTGTTTTGGGGGTTTTTTTTGCATCTCCAGCTGTTACTCATGATTATATGTCTGTTAGGTAATCTTGCATTTTTGTCTCTTCTCAGGCTGAAAATATGACTTTTATCAATCAGTTGCTCTAGCTTGCATAGCATAAGAGAAGCATGAATATTGCATTTTTTGATTTTTTAATGCAAGATGTTTTCTGCAGTTGATCTTGCAGGTCTCCCTCTAAATTCTCTTTTACTTTGGGGGTTATATGCTTGAGGCATCAGTAGAATTGTCCTTCTTGTCTCCCAAGTTTTTTCAATCCTTTGTGCCATGAGTCATCAACAAACCACCTTCTGCCCTAAATTACCTTGATATTGGTGAATCAAGGGATAGAGGTCAAGAAGTTGCTTTGTCTTCACAGGAAGCTAATCTGTATTGCTGCAAGTGTTGCAGTTGCTGTCTCAGTTGCTTTCTGACTGCTTGGCCACTGAGTGCAAGGCTCAAAATCATCCCCAAAAGCTTTTCTCAAAGACATGTGAGGGCTGCCTTTGTACAAACGCAGTGATTGCTTCTCATATAAGAATGTGACTGTTGTTTCTCTGCCCAGATAAGTTGATAAGAATGATTGATTCCTTTGAAAAGGAGGTAACCAGAAAGTGTCAGTAATTTGAGATCCAGATTGTGCTCTCCTCTCGAGAGCAGAAACCTCTGTACTCATTGACCATGCTGTTTGCTTTGGCTCCATTCTTTTTCATTTCAGTAGCCTGAGGAAGGTATTCAATTCTGAGAAACTGTCCCTAGGTTTACAGAATTGATATTCACCTGTCCAGTATTTAGGTTGTTATATGATGGGATGGAACTTCTTACAGAGAAGTTTCTTTTCTCATCACTGGTGAACAAGGAAAGGGAAATCACTTTTTTTTTGCATTTGTGACAGATTTAGTGGTGGCATTTTTAAAATTAATTTAGCTTTTAAATGGATTCTTTGGAAGAATCATTGGGTATCAACAAAGCTGTTTATTTCCTATGTCATTCATTTAGTGCCTAAAAAACTAGTTTAAGGGTTTTTTAATCCTCTTGGCTAGGTTGTGAACCAAAACACCTTTTACTAGTAGGGCTGATTTGTACTCTCCCACCCCCACAGTTTACTCAATGGTGCTGTTTCTAATAGAAAACATCCCTTTGAGAAAATAGCCTTTGAAGTCCTAATGTCCATATAGGGAAAAACTCAACAGTTTTTATGCAGAAAGTGGGAGAGGCAATTTATTCATGGTCACAGCAGATCTGTTTTGAGGTTTGTTATTCTGATGTAGTGCTTCAAGTTAGCTCTTTTCTTTTGCCTGTCTTCCTTGAGACTGCCTGTAGGTGAGCTGACCTTTAAAATTTTTCTTTACTGCTGTGGCTCTTCTGAAAGAGGTCAGTGTCTTGGCAGCTCTGCCCTTTTGACCGATACTTTGTCTTCTCCAGGCAGTATAGGTACTTTAAAAAGTCATCCTTTCTGTTGCTACTTCATGTTATGCTCTAAGTAAAATGGAAGACAGTTCTGGTGGGAAGAAATGCTTGTTTGAAAAAAGAAATTAGGCTTTGCACTTATTAAACTTCAGTATTCTATCTTAAAATATACTTCTGCTGTGTAATTTAAGAGCTCTCTGACTTGGCAGTGCAGGAAAATCCTGTAGAAGAGCAGTCATGTACTGGCCCACTGAAGGTGTGTGTAGTCTAATATACTCTGGCTGGTAACAGGGACCAATATTATAGGAAAAGGCTGCAATTCCACAGCCACCAGAAATGGGAGGATATTACTTCACTTTCCTCTCATCCTTCCTTCCTCACAGTTCTTTCCTTACACTCTCATCTCCTCCCTTGTCCCAGCTGTGGCACTTGACTGGTAATTAGTACCCCAAAACTTTGTGCTTCTATTCTGCATCTCACTCTGTGTTATTTAGGTGAACTGCAGAGGCTCAGAGGAGTGATGCACATGAGGGAGGGGTATAGCCAGGGACTGGAGGCTGGAAGGGAGAGCAGGAACTCACTTGGTGGTGGTAATTGATTATTCAGAACTTCTTACCTGAGTATTTGGACAGACATCTTAGTGTCTTGTCTTCCTCTTCCTCCTAGCAGCCTGCGCTCTAGGCAACTCCTGGGCAGATATATCTCCTATATGCAGATATATCAGCATGATGACAGATGATAACTCTCAGTGGTCATATTGGCCAGGACCATCCTTGTACTCATTCTGAATTTGTCTTTAGATCGCTTTCAGGGGAGTTGACTGGAGTTCCCTCGGTTGTCTAAAGTGGTGGGTTTATTAGTTGTCATCATGGTTTATTTTCTTCCTTTCCTCCTTTCCTTTCTTAGCACTGTCTCTTTAGACATTGTGAGTGTTGGTGTTTTCAAAGACTATCACTTTGTAGTCTTAAGACCCTATCTTGGTGGTACTAAGTGTTTTCTGACTGCACTTTGTTCTTGTCTTCAGTCTCCCCTTAAGTATTGTTGAACAAAAAATTGTTTCCACCCCACTCTAACTCCATAATTTTTTGCTGAATTGAAGTTTGTCTTTGACACAATGACTTCACAGATCCTTGCTTGAACAGTATTCTTTCTGAAATTGGTATATTGCATTTTGTTTTCTTTGCTTTTACTTGTGTAATGAGTGGCATGCACCTTAAAATGTTGCTTCTGTGGGGGGTTACTTTACTTGTATGTAGACTAAATTAGTGAAGTAATAGCATGCATCAGTTGAAGGTAGGGGAAATGATGTCTCTGTGACTAACTTGTTGCCTCCACCCATATTATCTTTTTCTTCTTCCTTTGGTCCCTCTGCCAGCAAGAAGTTGTCTCTGTTTTCAGTGAGCTGTGCTGGAATAGAAGGAGAGGAAAGCAGAGGGGAGAGAATAGAGAACTGTGTTGATGATGCTTATGTAGCTGTGTGTGTCTGGAGAGTGAAAGGCTCCATTCATGGGCAGTCATTGTTACTGTCCTGCACACACTCGGTGAAGAGGTTGCAGATAAGTTTGAAGTCTGCCATCTGGTCTGGCACAGTTCAGCATCACCCCCACCCCTCTTTATGTCTGTAACCCAGTTTGCACAGCTGAGAGATTCTGCTCATACAAAGATAATGCAAAATTTAGCTGGTAACACTACATGATTTAATTGCATTTTATTTTTTTAGCTTTTACTTAAACTCATTGTAGATTTATACTTGATGTATGAGAGGTAAAAGTCATGAGAAGGAGAGAATGACCAGTGCAATAAAGCCACATGGTTTTGCTTCACTTGACAGAAAAGGCAGTGTAGAGTAAACATTAATATTTCTTTCAGGGTAAAAAAGGGAGCTTTAGAGGTATCACAGTTAGTAGCAATTGTCATGTAAGCTCAGCACACATAAATAAATCTGTACTGGCTAAAAGATCCTGTGGGATAAAATGAAAAAGTTGAAATGGACATAAGGGAATAATAAAGTCCGTGTTTCATAGCAATTTTGTTATAGTTCTTACATGGACATGCTAGCATTTCATTTGCCTGTGCAGCAATGTAACACAGAAGCTTTGCTACCCATTTAAAATTATTGAGGGTCCTGTTTTATGTATGAAAAGGCAGTTAACTGTTAATGTATGCAGACAAATAAACTGATGATATACATGGTCTTTGTTAGGCATCGATGTCTTAAAATAGAGTTGGACTGCTGAATCTCATCTGTTATTTGTAGGTGGTGGAAAGAAG